AGATTGAATACAATTCAGTATACTCAAAGTTCTCTCTTTTCATAAGGTTTCTTCAACCATAGCATGGCCAAAACCAGGTTGTAAATCGGTGGAAGTGGCTCGTAAATTTCCCTGAAGAACATATTCAAGAAGTCCTGCTCGGCGAAAGGGGTTGGAGGGCTGATCTCGAGCTTCCTCAAGAGTTCGTCATAGACGGAGAGGCTAGGTTCAAAAACGAACATACCGGCATTGAAGTAGAGAGGAGGCTTGGGACCCAACTTCGCCGACCACTGGACCTTGTCCGGACACTGCTGGCAGTATCCGATCCTGTACTGAGGAATGTCGCTCCACGTCTTCTCGCAGAAACAGTCTGTCACGGCGTAGAACTTGCCGTCCAGTTTGTCAAACAGATCATCGATGTTCTCAAACACCTGAATATCACCGTTCAAGTATACCATCTGGCTGTACTCCACAAACTGCAAATTTTCCACACAACTTAGTGTCAAATTTCAAAAATACCGCTCACATGAATATATATCAATAGCAATCGGTCAAAAAATTAATTACTTACTTTCCATATACGAAGCTTGGAGTAATTGATGACATGGTCGGCCGTGGCGAAGTGCGTCTGGTTCCCCGGCAGGTTCTCCAGCAGGTGCACCTGCTCAATCTCCTTGACGATGCACCCTTGCTCGACCAGAATCCTCCGGTGACCCCCAGGAACGTCCGGTAAGATGGCCACCACAAGTGGGTACTTGCTCTTGACCTTCCTCAAGCCCTTGGCCAAACCCACCACGCCCTCAACATAATCATCATTTCTGGCCAAGAAGGTGACATAAGCCCTCGTGGGAAGGCTTGCTGCCTTGGCCAGACCGATGACAGTAGTTTTGGTGGTGGTGGTGTTAGCAGCCATATTTTGAGTTGTGTGAAGAGTTGAGAGAGGGTGTTTCTTTGGATTTGGAAGGAAAGTGAGAGAAAATGTTTGCTTGGTTGAAGAGAAAACTTTGTGTTTTGAGATGATGGGAGTAAAAGGGGAATGGGTGGGGATATATATAGGCGTCGGTCTATTTATTATTCATGAATAATTTTTTCCTTAGTGAAGTAAAGTCCACCTACCGCAGGGGCTTGATCGGACGGTTTGCAGAGTGAATTCAGGAATTGGACGGCGCATAAAAGGTGAAAGAAATTTCGTTTCATTTATTATGTTACAAAATAGAATTAGAATATGGGGGAAGAATGAAGATCCAAATGCCTTGTTTCTACGTTGCCAAAACTATTATTCAAAAATCTTTAAGAAAGATATGGTATAGATGTTATTATAAAATATAACTGTAGGCGTTTCTGTCCAAGTGGAGATTATTTCTCCGCATTAGCCTTCACCACCACCACAAAACTTCCAATTATGGGTGTTCGCGGGGTGGTTTGGTTCGAATTTTAACATTTTTTAATCCAATTCAATTTAATCGGTTAATAAAATTTTTAAACCAATCCAATCCACTATTATATGATAACCAAACCAATCCAATTTAAATTGGATCGGTGTGGTTCGGTCGGATTGATCGATTTTTAACACTATTAAATATATATGTAAATAAATTTAACATTAAGTAAAAAACATAAATATAAAATACGTTAATATCCAAATAAATAGAAACATAATTAAAAAAAGTACAAATTATAAACAAATTCTTATACTCTTTTACAATTGTAAAAATTAAAAAAATTTAGAAATTATAAACAAATTCTTAAATCTTTATCTTGATCTCCAAGAATACCCAAAAGAGAGCTACCACCGGTCTCCCAAGCTCTTTTAGTTCTGAATTTGGATGAGTATTTATAAGGTTTTAGAAACCCTAATTGAAATAGAAGTAGGATTTGAAACAGAATAAGAAACTTGAATGTTCGACGCTGAACGTATAATGTTGACACTCTGAATTAC